ACCCAGAGGCTGAGCCAGCATTTCGTGAGCAGCCTTCCTTGACAATGCTCATTACCAGGAGGGCACTGGCTGCCAGGGAGGTGGGGAGGGCCCTGGAAGGGGCTGGAAGCTCCCATCCACACTGCCATCTGGGCACTAGGGCCCGTCCATGGGGCTCAGCCCATCTCTCAGGAACACCCTGGTGTGGCTGCCATGATCTCTGGCACTGGGAAGGAGTGCCTCGCTTGGGTCCTGTGGGCAGCGTGCTGAGAATGATTACAGCTTGTGGAGGGATGAACAGTGTCCAGGGACAGGTGGCCACAGCAACCCCGTCGTGAGATGAGAGGCACTGGATGAGGGATCATTTTCCACCTTGACAAGTGGAGATATGTCCTAGAGAGGCAGTGACCTTCCTAATCTCAAGAGAAAGAAGAAAGGCTTCTAGAAACACCAGCAGGAGCTGCCTTCACACATCACGAGAGAGGAGGGTCAAAGGAAGTGTGTCTCAAACACCTTGCACATGTTCAGCTGACCCTTAGGGGTGAGCACGATGTGGCAGCATCTACTGTGGACGCCCCACATGCATCGGGAGGAATGGCAGGCAAGAAGCACACCAAGTGACAACATTACTGTCTAGTTGTACACGAAGGTTCTGGGCCACCAGCAAGGCTCTGGATGAATCCTGGAGGTGCCCTGTGAGTCAGCTGTTCCTACCGTGGGCTTGAAACTCTAGCTCAAAAACTCAACTGACACGACACAAAGGCCTCTTTTATGTGCTGTGAGGCTGTGGGACTTTACAAATAATAGGAATGGAAAGTGATTTATATCCCTAGATTAAAGGTCAGCTCTGCATGCAGGACTCTGGAGTAAAACAACAGTGTAAACTTGTTTGAACTCATTCATGTACGCCTGGGGGTGGGGGAGAAACACAGAAAGGTCTGCACAGTGCTCAGCACAGAGGGACTCTGAAGGGGTTGCAGGTGGGACCCACGGTGCGCGGAGGGACTCAGTGAAGCTAGGACACCTCTGACAGCTCAGTGGCCAAAACACATGTGCTCCTTAGAAGTGAGGCACTGAGCTGTAGGGTGAAGGCTGTTTTATGCGACTGATATGTCCAATACAAAGGAATTTAAATTTGTGTAGTCAAAGTATACCAAAGTTAAAAAGTTCAAATTTGATTCATTTGTATTGTAGACACTGAGACAGAAGATACCTTAAGAAGGGGCTCCTGGGAGCTAACTGCGCTCAAAGAAAACAACAACAGTAACAACAAAACCAGAAACCAGAGCCTAGCAGCCGTTTCTGCGCGGGGCCTCTCCCGCAAACCACGCTTCAGGGAGAAGCGGGCACTGAGCTGCCCGCCTGCGCTGTGTCTCTGCACTGGAGCCAGCCCCTTTTCAGTAGATAGAGCTGAGGCTTCCCCATCACCCAGAGCTGGCCTCAGAGCCATCAGGACAGTGCCTTCTGGACCAATCAGACTGTGAGGATTTGGAGCCCTCATTTGCATGAGGACAGACCAATCAGGGGCGAGGGGCCGGGCTTCTGTCTATATAAGCCAGGTCCCCTCCGGTTTTGGCAGCGCCGCGCTTTCCCTTTCCACCTAAGACTGAAAATTGTTTTTCCTTGGCTGAGCTGAGACACCCAAGCTGTCCCTCCAGAGCAAAGCGGGGCAGCCCAGTGCAGGCCAGAGCCGACTGCCCAGGGCAGAGCAGAGGGGAGCGGAGCTGAGGGGACCTGAGGGGAGCTGAGGGGAGATGAGGGGAGATGAGGGGAGATGAGGGGAGCGGAGCAGAATGGCGCAGCACAAAGCAGGCCAGCGTGGAGCAGGGCTGCCTGGCCGAGAGGGCCTGGCCCCAGGGCTGCCTCGCAGTCATGCTGTTTCACAGCTTTGCTGTACCATCCTGAACACACTTTCCTTCTCCATTACACCCCAAGTTGGGAATTCCTGTTGGCGCGGAATTGGTGCCCATGACCCTCAGTTGACATTATAGAGCAGAGTGGCCCACAAAGAAATGCAAGTTTGCCTCTAAGAGCATTTTCTGGCTGCTCTAAGTGGAATGTTGCATGTTGAAAGGTAATGGGACGAGACGTAAGACTGCTAGCGGGTAAGCTGTGTTTGTCTTTCTTCCTTTCCTTCGGCATCTAACAGCCGGGGTGCGCCCTTGGGTGTTTCCTGTGGATGGTCTCACTGAGTGTTGGAGCAGAGCCGTCAGTGTGTGGACGGGGCTTTCAGAGCGTTGCTCTGCCTTGGATGTGCTCCGTGACACCGGCCTGGTGTAGGTGCAGGGTCAGCCATCCAGAGCTGCAGGAACTGCTCTTAGTGGGAGAGCATCACCCGGAGGCTGCCTGCCTTTTCTCCTGCTGTGACTGATGACTTGCACTCAAAGACGTTTGCCCAGCGTTGCTTCTGATTTGACTGACTGAACTCACCAACCACCGCCTCTTAGTTACGAGTAGATGGAAAGACAAGGGGCCGTGTGGGTGTATGGGCCATTTGGGCCAAGGGTACATGGCAGGTGAGGGCCTGTCCTACCCAACAGTGTGGACTCCTGGACCTGTGCGGCGAATCAGGATGGCAGTGCTGCTCACCTCGCTCTCTGTGCTACTGAAAGATGTCATAAGTGAGTGTGACCAGGCTCCTGCCAAGTGCTCTAGGTCTCTGGACACAAGGGGCAGGGACAGTGTATCCCTGACCCTGATGCCTTGTCCAGCTGGTGAGGGTGTAGAAAGACAGCACAAGGGCCCTGGGCCTCACAAGCAATCACATTACGAGACGAGCTGTGCCCAAGAGGCAGGAGGGCAGGGGTTGAAGCATCTCCCATCAGCCCTCCACTTGCTGGCTGGGTCTGGGTGAGCGGAGCTCAGTGGCCATTTCCTCTCACACTTGGGGTTGGGATGCTGGGGAGAATTCACACAACCCTAAGCACCCAGACATGCCAGGGCTCAGCTCTGTGACTTCCCGATGTCCTAGGCCTTCACCCGGCCTCACACCATACAAAAGGGCATCCTCGGTAGCAGCCAAGTTCGAGGTGAAATAGAAGCAATGATGAGCAGGGACAGGAACTTGAGCTCTTGTCTCACTGGGAGCCCCTCCCTGCTGCCCCCACCATCACTTGGGACCCTTGCTGCCGCTGGCCACGGACCGGAGGTGTCCAGGACACAGAGGACAGGCCATGTGGCCCGCCTATCCTTGCCCCAGGGGCACAGACAACTTCAAAGGGGTGAATCAAATGGTCTACAGTCAGCAAACAGCATGGCCTGGCCGCTAACAAGACATCAGTAGGTGCCCTTGCTCCAATCCAGCTTACAAAGCGGGTGTTCAAATGAGATTCACTGAGAAAAGACTTCTGTGGCTACAGAGAATTAAGGGGTTCAGTCCCTCAAAGGGCCTGATGTGAGTGCCACGGGCCCATATTCTTCATGATGGCAGCACTGAACAGTCAGGGCCTCAGAGCACTGCTTGGTTCAGCCCTAGATCCCGAGTGATCGTTGGCCATCACATTCCCAGTTCTCAATGAGCCTCGACCTGTCCTGTCCTAGAAGGTCGATTCCAAGTGTCCCTGACCTCACACACACTGATGCCATAGCCTGCTGGCCTCTCCCCAGGACTTGGTTCATAAGCCAGTGCTGTGGTGGCTACATTCCCACTGCCTGCCAGAATCTCAGGCAGGCCTGTGGGGACCAACAGCCCTGCCCGGGTGTATGCAACTCCATGCCCTCCTGGGGACACTCACCCAGCCCTGCCCTCCACTCACCAAGGCTCCCTCCACTGTCCTAACATAGGAGTCCTGGAGCTGCCTCCATCCTGGCCAGAGAGCTGCATGCACAGTGAGCACGGGCATTTGGACTCTGGGGGCTGACAGGAGCTGCATGTTCACCATGCCCTGATGCCCTTCAGGGGACACACACTGTCTTCACACGTTGGGCCAGCGTTAGGGTGGCTGAGGGGGCTGGTGGGCAGGCCTAGGACAGCCCACAGGGCCCCATACCCCCTCCTGCCAAGCCAGAAACATCTCCTGGCTGGCACTTTTGGAAAGGTGAGCTCTAGGACCAAGGGTGGGTCATATGGGCCCTTGGGCAGGAGGGGAGGACAGTCCAAGGCACGTTAGGTGAGACAAGGGGTGATCTCCAGACCCTAAAGATAAAGCCTGACCTCTTAAATGCAGCATGCAGAGGACACCCCGCCCTGGGCTGCTTAACAGGTAACAGAGCCCAGAACACACACAGGGACAGCAGTGAGGGGACATCCCACCAGGGCTCAGAGGCAACACCCAGGACTAAACATACTTGGGACTGAAAGCCACAGAAGGCATAAGATGGTCTGCAAGCCACCTTTCAGAAGAAGAGCGATAAAAACCACTTGAGCCATAAGCAACGAGCAGGGAACATCCTATCTGATGGGTGGTGCTCTAGGCGTGCCAAGGTTTTCACTGCCAACAAAGCAACATAAGCCCAACACGAGAATGGGCACCCGACAGGCATGCACTCTGTATGCGAATTAGCCAACATTACTGAGAAGATAAAGGACATTTCCATGCCAAATGCCCTCGAATTAATTCATAAGGAAAAGTGATCCCAGCCCCCCATGAATAGGCCAGCAGTCAGCAGAGACAGGAACGTCTGGAGGGGCTCAGACCAGGGCCTGGATCCTAGATAGGGGGAGTGTGCCCAAAGCGTTGGGCCAAGGTGGGGAGGGGGCTGGAGCTTACCCCTGGGGGAGCTGGGGCACCCCTGTACCCACATCCACTGAGGCTGGGGGCTGGGCACAGGGTAGAAAGGGCCCGCTCAGACTCTAGGAGGGAGCCCTGAGGTCCAGGGCCTGGGCAGCACTGTGGACAGCAGCAGAGGGGCGCAGTGCCCAGAACCGGAATGAACCACCAGACCCACAGCTGCAGTGGCCAGACACCCCACTGTGCCAGCCTCAGGGAGTGGGACACTCTGCCTCCCTGAGCAGGAAAACAGGAAATGGCTCTCAAATGAGCCAAAGTCTGTCATCACATCATGGCATCAACGCTGCTCACCTCGTAGTGGAAGTCCATGCAGGTGAGGTCTCGCCAGCACTGGTCCCCCCGGATCTTGATCAGGCCCTGCCAAGGCAAGAAGGAGAGAGAGCAATGTGAATCACTTCCCCAGGTCCCCAGGGATGGGAATCGCCGCTGGGGGGAGAACCTGCGCTGAAAGGAACTTTAAGGGAGCAACCAATTTTATCTTCCACCTGAAGTGACGTAAGGGTGAGATTTAAAGAAAGCTTCACAAAGGCTTTAATGACAGAAAGTCAGCAAATGCTACAGGGAAAAAGAACACTGGCTTCCTTGTTATAAAGGCAGTTCCTTCTGCGCTTTCTTTAAAACTCAGATTTTAGACTGTGAGCATCATCACAGTAATGCAATTGTGAGGCTTTAAAATGGACAGATTTGCAAAGCCACACACACACAACCTTACTTATACTTCTATTAGACACCTAGGAGGATGTGAAAGGGACAACATCACAATTGCCATGATGACACACCATTCAGCAACTCAGGTGGGCCACATGAAAACCTGCACCTGTCCCCTCGCATGGTCACTACCGTTTCAGGGCACCCAGGAAGCCCCCGGTGCTCAGGCCCGAGAGTGCTGCTCGTTCACTGGGAAAGTGGCTGCAGGGAGAGGGGACTCTGAGCAGCACAGTCGCTGCCCCACAACCCTGCACAGCTTCCGGGACGCATGCAATGTCCCCATCACGGCTGGTCTGCGCTCACAGGGAGGCCGTCAGCTCACGTGCCCGTCGGATGCAGCCCCCACTCCCAACAATCCACTTTCTCTCCACGTGATTCCTTCATAAGTCAGATACCAACTGTTCCCCTACCAGGAATAAAAACATTGCTGGAGAAGCAGAGATTCAGTTCTAATTTCTGTCTCTTACATAATAGCTGGATTAGAGGGTGAGAAAGAAACTGCGCCGAAAAAGAAACAGCCCTGGGATGCTGCTCAGCTTTCTCTGGTGACGGTGGTTTCTGCAGCTAAGACTACCTCAGTTTCAGCCACCCATCCACCATGCACCCACCGAGGATGCCCGGGATAGTGCTCCTCATTAAAGCCAACCGATCATGAGCCTTAGTCACGTATGTGAAACATCCTTGCTGCAGCACTGAGATTGGTGTGTGACTGAATAACGGGGGGTGGTGGCTGGAACTGGTTGACACATAAAACTGACCTTTAGGCATGGGAAAGACTTTGGGGCAGCTGAGGACTCTGAGCCAGGGATGGGAGCGTGAACTGATGGGTCCTCTGGTGGCCATGCAGCCAGCAAGGCAGAATGACTGTTTGGGATGTGGGATGTGTCCAATTCCAGACATGTGGAGCCCACAGGATGGGCTGAGGGATTGGAGCAGGTGTGGGGTAGGCGGTACAGACTCAGCAACACCCAAAGGAGCAGGGAGGAGATACAGAGTGACATGTGGGGGCCACACGGCTTCTACAGTAAGACTGAATGACAGAGCTCCGGGGTGCGCATGGGCTGGAAACATGGGTGCACCTAACAGTGGTTTACAAATGCACTCCAAAGGGGCTGCGGTACTCAATTTTCTGAGCACCATTAAGACCCGAAGGCTATTCTGAAGTTCGTTCTGGAGAAGCTACTTCTGCTTCGGCAGCCACCTTGCTGGGGTCTCACGCCTGGCCCTCAGCCGCACCTGCTGCTTCCAACGTCACGGAGCTGTGGCCTCAATGTGGAGCTGTGCTCCAAGGAGAAAGGCCTGAACGGATCACTTTGAAAAGTAGAGAGTCGCATCTTTCTGGAAATGATCTGCTTAGAAACCGGACTTAGGTGACAGTCCAGAGACAACTCCCAGTTTGAATTTGGCCACGCAGTTATGTTGTGTGAAAACAGCCCTTCAGAAAGTCAAACGTGTCCTGATGACCCAGATCCGAGTGAGCCCATCCTGCCCAGGGGAGCGCTGCTGGTTTCTGATGAACGTGCCCCTGGTTCTGCAGCAAACTCAGCCATGTGGTCACATGAGGCTCCCCCGTGAGCACGGCTGCGCTCCCTGCATCCCTTCAGAGTCTGAGAGCGGTGCTCTTTGGAGATTCAAACCAGGCGAAGAAGAAAAAAACAAAATAATTAAAATGTCATTCAAACTCGAAGCTGATATGAGACACTTAAAAATCTGAGACATTCTTTCAGGAGCGGAGGATAATTATATTCCTCCCCATCTACTGATTTCTCCCTACAATGCAGATGTCAGATTTTCCACAGATTTTTTTTCTTCCAGAGTTAAGTGTCAAAGGAACAAAGCCTTCTTTGAGACTTTTTCCGCCCAAAATTAATTCTGAAAAAAAAACGGCACAGATAGGTCACTAACAAGGCAGACCCAAAGAGAGCGGAGTGACCCGCAGCTGTCCATACAACCCCTGCTCTCCGCTTGGGAACGGGAGAGTGCCAGGATGCTGGAACATTCCGCAGTGGCTGAGGAAGCCCCAGGCTTTACAGGCAGTGGGCGGGAGGCAGGAGCATAGAGGCAGGACCATAAGGGAAGGGGCCTGTGGGATGCAGATGGGCTCCTCTCTGAAGCTCTAGGGTCTGAGAACACTCCTCTCCAAGACTCCCCTTTGGAGACGGGGAAATTCCAAGGCCTCACCCCCCAGAGCGGCATCTCTGCCCAGCTGCACAAGTCCCTTCGCACTGACGGGAGGGTGACAGTCCATGAGTGCCAGCGGAGGCAGGCCCCTTCCTCGGGGCACCTGCGNCTTCCTTGGGGCACCTGTACCACCACAACGAGCTCTGTCTGCAGGGCCTCGTTGTGAACATACACCTGTTCTCTCACCCCGAGTCTCTGCCTGCTCCTTTCCCACACAGGAGAAGCTTCATGGGCCCTGGAGGCCTGAGCACTAATGAGGGGTTTCCAGTGTAGGGGAGACACGAGCAGATGAGGTGTCTGGAGTGCCACTCAGGGGTGATGGGGAGGTTGGGCCAGTAGGGGCCGGGTCACCCTGAGTTCCGCTCTGACCCAAGTAGCATGCTGCTTCTCTCCCGTGGGAGCTGAGCTGGGCCCATAGGACCCCACGTGCACCTTTAGCAGGTGGGGTACCCCATGTGCTCTGAGTGGACAGAGGGGGACCCATGTCTCAGCGTGCGTGGTGACCCCTACATTTGAGGTTCACTGCTTAGTGTTTCATATATTATGTTAGCAACCACAACAGCCGACTTGTCTCCACATTTGAAGGGCCCCAGCAAAGCCAGGGTCACCACCTGGCTCCGTCTCTTACTCTCCAGCGTCAGTCTGGTGCTGTTGGTACTTTCTGACCCCAAGGTACGATGATTTAAACCCACAATCGGCAAGCACAAGTGCATACAGTAAGTGCCAGTCAGTTACAGGACATCGCCTGGAATGAAACCTGCAGTTAGGGAAAGAAATCACTATAGGCATTTATTGTCAAGTTTTCTTTTGCCCTCTACCAAATCCTGGAGAGCCTTTGAAAATTGCCATGGGGCACCTGCCTTTGACAGCCTTTGAAGCGGGGCTGCATGGAGTGGGTGGAAGGACTTGTCACAGGTCTGTGGAGGCATTTAGGACTCAATGACTTTCTAGACCACCGGGAACAACTGTCTTCACAAGTGGCTGGAAATAGAGGCACAAAGAGGGTGCTGAGGAGCCGAGCCTGGGAGCCTGGGAGCCTGGGGGGTCGGGGGCCATAGGTCAGACCATGGCAGACACCGTTTCCCAGAAATCCCCATGCTGCCCCCGGGCTGGAGTCTGAGGCCTGGCCTCCTGGGTGCTCCTGCAGGAAGGAAGAAAGCCCCTTTCTTCAGCTCTGCCCACACTAATGCAATAAAACAAATTGGGATAATTGCTCTCCTTGGGGAGTGGGGATCCCAGGACAGGGCAGGCTGGCCAAGGAAATGACAACGACATCCGCTTGATTTGGGTCTTCGTGGGGCATGTTGCATTCCGACATTTATTTCATTATATGTAATACGATTTTACCGGAGGCAATAGAATTCCAAGAAAGAGCTCCTGACTTGAAACTCTCATTTTTCTTTAGTGACTTAGCTCCTTGCTTTTCTTCGCTAACCTTTCGGTGCCGCCTTGGGCCGGAGCGTCTCGGGGACATGCGCAAGTGAGGCACACAAACAAGTAAACAGCTCTCACAGTCATTCTGAGTCACCCATTCCGGTCAGTCCCCGGGCTCCATGGGAAAGAGCAGGGATCCAAGTGCAGGCTCGCTGAGCTTCCTGGCCGAAGCCTCCCCTCAGCTGGGAAACTTCCTTCCCATCAGATGGACGCAGGAACCTCAGAGCGGGAGACGGGAGACGGGAGACGGGAGCCGACGCCAGCCCAGGCCCCGGTGTGGCTCGGACATGGCCGCAGCGAGCAGCTACGCCCTTGCTCTGCTGGGCTCACTGCCCCTGCCAGCAGCTAGCAAAGCCTCCCCAGTCCCAGGACAGTCCTGCGCAGGGTGGGCTCCAGCTGCACCCCACACACGGCTGCTGTCGAAGAGAATGCCAGTGGCTACACAGCTGCCCTCCCTGCGCTGCTGGGGTGCCCAAGGGCTGGGGTGATTGCAAGGCTCTCCCAACACTGGCAATGGCCAACACCCTCATTATCCACAGCGTGTGGGGTTCATGGGGCTGCACGGTGATCGTTACATATGAAAAGCAAACTCATGATAGTTTCTTAAGTCTGAGGGTTGAGCTTCAACTTACACGAAAACACACAAATCTTTAAGTGTTCAGTTCAATGTGTTCTGACAACTGTATACAATCAGATATCTAGTACCTTAAACCGGATACAGGTTTCCATCCCACAGAGCATTTTCTGGGACCCCTTTCCAGGCAATTCCATGCCCCACTCACCAGAAAGCTGTGCAGCCAGGCCCAGCTCTGCCTGCTCTGGGGTCTCAGAGACCCCTGGGCATCAGCAGCTCTGGCTCCGGGTTTGGTGGGTCGTGCTGAGCATGCTTTAGGGTTCGTCCGTGTTGCTGCATCGGGAGGTGGTTCCCGTCTACAGCCGAGCGCGGGCCCTCGGGTGAATGCATCACAATTTCTCCACCCCGAGGGACGTTTGTTTGTTCCCGGCACTGCAGTTACGATTAGGGCTGCCGGGGA